AGCAAGTGCTTCAATGAGTGCTTTACTCAATCTTTTGCCTCCATGTCCATGTTATATTATTTTGTATAAAGTGAGCATGGCTAGGGGAGTGAACATGTGGGCATAGTGTGCAGTCTACTAGTGTCATTTTGTGCATTATTTTTACACACATATGATGAATAAAACAACACTTTCCTGTACCTATTGCCACAGGTCTGGAACAGCCTATTTTGTATATAGTCAATAACATTTAGTTTTAGTAATTGCAAAAATCTGTAATTTCAAGAACATTTTTAAATGTTCACTCTAGTTTCAAGTTGGTAGATCCTTTCCTTAAAATACCAGAAATAATGAATTTATGATTATAAAACTGACTTTTTTGGATGCAGTGACTGTGGAGAGAGGCAGGAAAAGCAGAGCATGATATGCAGCGAAGGGCCCATGGCCGGATTTGAACCCGGGCCACGGCAGGAAGGACTATAGGAAGGTATATTTATAGTACTTACTGAGTATAAAATAGTACAATATAGTATATATTCATAATGTAGAATATAAGAGTATATGTATACTCTTATATTATACTATTATTTATAGAATATTACTATTATCAATATTAATTATTAATTTGTCACATTAATGTCCCAAAAAAAGTTACCTGAAGGATGTCTATTTTAATTCTTTCGTGGTCATATTTTAAATTGCTAACTAAATTAAGCTAAGCTAGACCTATTATCTTTTACAATGTTCGAGAAATAGCCACAGCAACAAACTAATGCAGAGGCAAGAATGAAAAATTGTTGTTAATTGAGTAATAAATGACAAAAAAAAAAAAAAAAAAACGATTTTAGGACTAAGGTGAGTTTTTTCTTAATAAGTTGATTGATAGCACGCACTGGAGTTACATATCCAGTATAAAGACAAGCACAGATGACTGAACCCTAATGTATGTACTGTGGTATATGGATGATGGAGTATAAAATAGACTTAAATTCTGATCTACCTTAGACACATTCTTAGGCGTGGCAGATGTGATTTAATTTTAAATTGCCATTCACCCCTTCATGAAAAATGACTCAGGCCTCGTTTTGTTAGGAAATATTCCCCTTACCAAAAACATGTCTAAAGAAATATAAAAAATCGTATCTCTGACCAGTTTTCATTAACAATTGGTGGGTTTAGCGCTAACGGTGTTGTCGGCTTACCTTGTCTCCCACTTGGGCACTCTTCCTCCAGCAGCCAACAGTCAGATACTCTCGACATTTGAGCAACCTTTCTTCACAGTGAGGTGTGCAGTTTAGCAGGCCTGCTATGTTTGGTAGTTTGCCAACAGTCCAGCTGGATCATGAGTCATTGAAGCTAGTTTGTTTTCAATTTATTAAACATGTGGTCATGGGAGGCCTTTTAAAAATGTGTTATAAGATTGATGAAGATGATGTTCAATATTTCTACAAAACTTACTTAGATTTTGCCTTTATATTGGATGATCACCTGAACTGTCAAAAATACAATGTATTATGTTGCTTTAATTTAGTTATTGCTAGCTCAAAATCAGAGTTTAGTGTTCACACCGTTTGCAACCAAAACAAAGAAATTTCCCACAAAAAGGATCTAATTCATGTATATACCCATTTTAGTATTTTTGTTGTCATTCAACCACTGAGGATGGTTAGGAAAACCTTTTTTGTAGTTAGATGTGAAGAAAAAAAACAACTGCTCATAACTTTGGGAAACTGACATTCTGAATAATAGAGCTGCATGACTGAAAACAGAGACAGGATAACAAATTCTTCCCTCTACACATACCACAGTAATTAAAGGTTTTTGTAATGTCCCACTTTATTTGAATAAGGTATACTGCACAGTACAAGGTCACCGAGTGAGGGTGCAAATATTTTGCAAAGAAAAAAGGAAAACTGATGAATAAGCATTTCTGAATTTAATGCCTATCAGCAGAGGAGCTTATCTGAATTGTGGTTAAATGGATAAAATCACCAAATTAGATTTGCCTGCTTATTTGGTGACTCTGAAAGAACCCTTATGATGCAAATAAAGACATGAGTGACACGATGACCCCTCTTAGAGGGTAAATAATCTGATATTCATTTCAGACAGAAACATTAAATTTTCTCTTTTAATAAAACAGTTTAATTCAGCGCTACAAAATACTATCATATTCAACATCTGTTGCACACACCTTGACTGTAGGTTTTCTAAAAGCACAAGTTTGGGGCAGCAGGTTCTAATATATAACCATTACAAGCTGTCTGACCTCTTCTAGAAAGTTTCACATGACAAGCTCAGTGTTCCACACCAAGTCAAGACAACACAATGATAAGAACTGATTGCACCCAAACTCGCTTAGAAAGTTGAGCTGCTCAAAGCTCAAACCATTTATAATCTGAACATCCAGGACACAATTTTAAGGGTTTATTATGGGGTTTTCTATAGAGATATTATAAAGAATGCATCTGCTATTGGCTGAATTTATCCAATTTATATTACATCATGACCAAAATAAGTACTTTGATATTTCAGCCTCATCAACATTCAAGGTATTAAATAGGACACAAAAAATGAACGTCCACACAAACAATTTGATTGCCACTGTGTGGGTTTTCAAGTGATGGTTTATGTTCCATTTAAGGTATTTGTCATCCCGTTATATTTCAGTTGTGTAGTTGTGACATATGGAGCTCACAAGCCCATAAACATTCACACAAACATAAACCCAAATGCTGGCCACGGGTAAATGTGCATCCTTTTTTAGACACAGTCAGCTGTCGCTGCTGGTTTTGACATCTGCAGCCTATTTCATGTTAGCCTAGTTTAAACCAGACCAGATAGCGTAAATCACTCACACTAAAAGTGTAGACGCAATCAGTATGCACCAAGCCAGAGGGTGATAGCATCACTATTGACTAAGCCTTATGCTGAGCCACAATGCCAACCTGAGCAGCGTGTGGGCCTTGTGAAACCTCTTGGTTTTAATTTCGGTGCCCATGTTAACAGGTTAGAGTAGCCACACAGCCCATGTGAGCAACATGCATGGCTGCAGCAACACTTCGTCTAGGGAAACGATAATTCACCTCTTTTTTCCCCACGTGCAGCTCTCGACATGATCTGTTCGTAGTCATACCAACATACCAACATTACTCCTTTTACTACCGTTTCAATGTCTATATGTATATCTGTAGAATATGTCAGACATGAGAATAATCTCAATAATTTTTTTAAAACTAGTGTTTCTGTGGAGAGGATCCATTAATGTGTTAACAAAGCTTTTATTGTATTGTATTTATCAAAGGCAAACTCAATATAGAAAGACTGAGTAGAAGAGAGATAGAAGGCTGGCAGTAACAGCACAGCAGCAGCAGTGCGGTCTGTGTGGATACCAAGGCCTGCAAGCTGCAGCAGTTCTGCGTCACGCACAGGCAGAGGTAGGCAGTGTGGCCCAAGAGTTTGCCTAAGCCCACGTAAAATTATACATGAGCATATGCACTCTTACAAGCAAAGGTTAATTCGTGTTCTTTAACTGGACACCAGGTTTATACCATGGTTGAAACTTAAAATCATCCTACATTTTTTTTTATTTTTTATTTTTTTATTTTTTTATTTTTTTTTAAAATGGGACCTATATGTTATTCTGTTATGCAATGTTGCAATGTCAGATGTTGATATTAGGCCAAAGTGTCAAATAATGAGGTAAACGTACGTTAAAGTAATCCCTGTGAGCAGAAATCTCAGACACATCTGAATGCAACCTACCAAAGTCTTTTTCTACATTTTTGACATAAAAGCCTGTCTTGTTAAAGCAACAGTGAAGCAATCTGTCCATCAGAAAGCAACATAAATCACTGGAAATTTAAGCTGAGCACACAGAGCACATCAGAGGGAAGGCCAGATAAAAAAAAAAAAATTCTCCATAAAATATAATTCAATCTCACCAAAACCAGTGAATAAAATGATAAAAGTTCTGTGCTTTTGTATAGTAGTTAGTGAGGCCCAGTTCCCTCCACTCTGGAGGCGTATGATTTTGTTGTTTGTTATTCGTTTGTGGTCTGATGAACAGTAAATTGATCAAATTCAGTGCCCCATATCACTATTGTCCAAGCTAAGTTATTGTAGCTATCATGTCGCCGAGACCATTAAGAGGACGAAGCAGTGTTTATAAGCACTGGGTGCAGTCCCTGATCAGGCTTCTGTGAAGTTGGCTAATCAGAAGAAAGTTGGCTTTTAGGGAGGGGGGCTTCAAGAGACAGCTTGTTGCAAGAATGGAGGGACTGCATGAAGGGCAAGTATAAGCTAAATAAGGATGTTTCTGAATGAGAATCATGCAAAGGCACTCCAGTAGAGTCTCACACTGAGAATAAAGAGCTTAAAATGAGCATATTAGGTCCCCTTTAAGCTTTATTTCTGGGTGACATAGTGAGTACGGTTTGAAATGTCAGTTAGTTTAACTATAAGGGATTGAACTAAAATAAAAATAACATAGTAGCAGAACCATCATTAATGAAACTGTGGTTACTTAAAGCCCAATATAGACTGAGCAAGAATTTACAATGTAACAGTGATTTAACTGTTGACTGGAAATAAGTTTCAGGTGTCCCAGAACACAATTTTAATAAACACTTTTCAGCCAGTTAGCATAAGGCATTCCCCCTGGCCCACAGTACAAGTCCTAATAAAAGCTTTTTAAAGCTAGGTCTGCCATAGAAATGTGCCATGTGTACAACTTGATTTGCAGAGTATTTCTCACTGAATGAGATAGCCTTTAGGTACATTATTTCTAACATTCATTTACCTGGGTACTTTCTTTGAATTTAAACTTCCAGTGACATCATTTTTGAAGAGAAGAAGAGAGGGTGGTTCAGATAAGCTCCACTACTCATATGCAACAATTTATTTTCCTTACATCCTCCACAAGAAACACTATAAAGTAAGCCTCCAATGGCAAGGCCATTAAACCAATACAATAACAACACTATTAAAAAGAAGGTGTTTAAAGACTGTATTAGCATTACCTGAATATGAGCAGTGATGGTTCCATCTGCTGGTACACTTTCCAGTGCTCCATTTACAGCTGCCAGCTTATTGAGGTCCTTGGCATTATTCCACTCTGTGCGCAAAGGAAAATGCAATGACAACATGAGGGAAAACTGCTTCTAATAGCACACAGTAGGGTAAATCTTGGCCAAGCTGAAGGAATAACTAAGTGTTTACCTGGATTTAGTGTCTCTGCGTCCAGTATACCCCCTTCCCGATAGCTCTCCAACTCATCAACTTTGACTTTGCTCCAGGGTATGTAGGTAACTCCCCGCTCCACATCCCAGAACTTTTTGTGTGCTGATTTTATACCTTTGTTCAAAGCCCAAGCAATCTAGGCAAGAATGAAATTAGCTATAATCATCAAGTTTATTGTTACCACTAAAACAAGTTAAACAGAACCAAATGTATAAGTGAAATTTCTGTAAGAGTTTATGTACCTTAACAGGTTTCTGATTGACTTTGTATGACCCCCTACTGAGTTTGTTCAAGGCTGTATTGGCATCTTGTCTGTGAACCATAACAATATAAGCACAACCCCTCGGAGGAATCATCTGGACACAGAGAAAGCAAAGGGAATTTGAGATCATAATCTTAAGATCATAGAGGATTATACAAGTATCTTTGACGTGAATTGTCCACACTTACATTGATAGAATCAATCTGGCCAAACTCTTCCAAAAGGGACATCACATCGGACTGCTGAGTTTTCTTGTCTAGTTGTCCAACCCAAAGTGTAGTGCTGCAAACTGAAAGCAAAATGACATTAGCAACTTAGAGGATGGGTTGTGTTTAACTTTACTATCTGTTTAAATGTGAATGTTTGATACTCAGTTTTTCAAAGAATTAAATGTTTGACAAATCTTGTTACCCCAAAAATCCAGATCAGTGATTCCCACAGGATGACAGTTTAAGTATGGTGGGGACGGCCATACTTGAAAATATTTAAAAGACTAGGCTACATTACCCCTTATTAGAGATATGCGTGCCCCACCTCTGTGTGTTTCTGTTGACTTTCTTCAGCAGTAACTTTTATCATAAGATTCACTGTAGGTAATGGTTTCAAAGCAAAGAAATGCATGACAAATCTGGCTTCCCATGTTGGCAACCAATTTCCCTGTATTTTAAAAAAATTTATCCCTGCCGTTTATCTGGCCCACAAAGCTAGATCTGGGGCAGAATACAGTGTGCAGTGCAGTTAAGCTTATGCAAGAAATACGAAAGTTCTACGGTTAGTGGCCAGCAAGGTAAAGCGGTGAAAATATTCTTAATATAGTGTACATTTAAACTGATTAGATTCAGATTCACAGGTTTGTTTCTGTTATACACAACAGCACATACCACTGAGTGTCTGGCTCTTTATGCTGGGAAGACCTTTCTGTCTGCGCTCTCTGTCCTTCTCCCTTTCATTCCTGTCCTGAGAATGAGAGCGGGATCTCCAGTGCCATTCTCTGGAGCGAGAACGAGAGCGTCGATGCCTAGGCCTTCTTGAGCGAGAAGAAGATCTTGATCTTCTTCTCCTGGGAGATCTGAAACACGGAACATTGAAACAACTCAACATTGTGCAACCAAATCATGCAATTCCTAAGAGGAACGTTATCCTTTTCACCTTTCACCTGAGCAGGAAATGAACACAGAGCACTGGGAGTCCATTGCAGCATGTGCAGTGTGTCAGTGCAGTGCATGCACTATCTGCTCCATAATTCCTGATATGTAAATTAACCCTTCAGGTACCGCAGCAGATAATCAAATATTTTCTTAACCCACTGTAACATTAACAGTAAGTACAATATAGGCAATAGGCTTTGGCAAGTGTAAAAGAGACAGAACTGCATTTTAAAACATCAACGTCAAATCCACAGCACTACACAGTTATGTGATGACACAGCCTCTTACCTGGAACCAGATCTGGACCTTGATCTCTTGCCAAAGCCTCGGTGTCTGCCCTCCCGCCTCATAGTTGAGTCTTCTCTTGAATTTCCCTATTAGACAATGATGACATGTTCCAAGTTTGTTCTTATTTAAAGAGTTCACAACCCAGGTCTCAAATTCAAATATGACACAGCACCGACATTTCCCTGCCAACTGAGGTAGTACTGTACTAACTAAAAGCAAAAATAACTTCTGGGGGGGAAAAAAAGATGACATTCAAATGCAAATTCAGTGGAACACAAACTGAAAGTCTTTCTTTCACAACAGAGGCATTCAATCAGGTTAAACTGAACGGGCTTGGAAGATTTACCTGCGGTTGTGAATAAGCCTCATTTATGGAACGGTATCCATCCGGCATCACATGATGTTCACCATGACTTATTCCTCCACCGTACTGAGGGATGACAAAGACATAGTCACAGGAGATAGTTTAAAAATACAGACACCACAGGGATATTGACCACACTACATTTTCACTGAAGCCTGCACCCGTATTAGAGCTGCTATATTTGAGACTTAGTTGAGTTATCATAGAATTCAATTGTAATAGGATACCTCAACACCACCACTCTGTCCCATCATATGTGGATGAACATTATCCATTTTGGGCATCTGACCAGGAAACTGGTTAAACACGTTTTCAGGAATGCCCCTGTCAAGACAAAATACACAGATAGTGAGGGGAATTACAAAGACCATAAAACACATTAAAAACCAACTACACCAAAACTAACATCATTGTGGGCCTTGTTCAAAGCAGAGACGCTCACATGTCATAGGAAAAAAATAAAAAAAACAGTGGGTTAGGGATTGCACAATTGAATGACAAGTGCAATTTCCAAATCACAAGAACTGCAAATTTTTGATAAAAGGTGAAATGTGTGTCAAAACAGCATTATAAGGAAGTAATGTTGTAATAAGTAATGTGCTGCAGAGATGCCTTGGCCTACAAATTGTCTCCAGATGGAAAAAAAAAAACATACTTGTTTCATAAAGACCTCAACAAATGTCACATCATCATGATTTTTGTAGTTTTCAATAAAACATAAGTGTAATACCACAAATAAGCAGAACCCAATTTAAAATGGAGGACTTAAACCTTCCACAGTCCACCAGAAAACCCCAAAACCCAAATAAACAACTATTATTAACCATCATCGTCAAAATATTCACATGACTTGACACACTTGAACACTGTTTCTGAACTAACATCTTTCAATACTGGAGTCAATGTATAATATAACAGCAGATAGTTTGCCCTTTAGCTAGAGCCCCATCAGTGATCGGTTGGCTGACATTATCGGTCAATATTGGCCTGTTGCAGACATATCGGTATTGGCGTTTATGTTACCCAATATGCGGCAATATGAAAACAGTTTATTTTCCCAGTTTATAACGCAGATATAAGTACTTGTGGTAATAATTCAACTTAAATATTCTTTGATAAAGTTATCTCTTTAAGAAAGAAGCCTTCGGAGTACCTTTCCATAGTCATATTGGTGCAAATATGTGCACAATCCACATAGAAGAGGTCTATCTTCATTCCAGCTCAAAAATTCACTACATCGGCCATCATGTCGGTAATCAGTGAATTTTACCCCTCTAGTGGCTATACCTCTAACAGCTGACTGAAAACATCACTGAATGTATTAATACATGTTAGCAGCACTCATTGCAAACAAGTTATTTTCTTTGCGCTATCAAAGGGGGAAGTACCTGAAATGGTGTGATATATGCAACATGCTTTCAAGTCCTGACCTTAAAAATGATGCTGTGCTGTTGTCCCTGCCCATTCATACAAAGAAACACAGACAGATGTATATATACATTTTATGAAACTCACTGTGACTGGGCACTGCCATCTTTAGCCATTATATCCTCAGGTTCATCATCATAGTCAAACCGGTCAAGGAGTTTCTGAGAAAAAAAAATACAAAATATATACACACATGTATATTAGATAGGTAAGTAAATGAGAACATTAATTTGTATTTGATCACAGCAGGTAATGTGGTGACACTGAGCTACACTGTTACCTCGGCCAAAGAGCTTTTCTTCTCTGTGTGTTCACTGTATGGGTGGAGCTGGGCCACAGGCATCTGGGGTGGGTTTGGTATGTTGTTTGCAATGGAGGCTGCCAGAGTTTTATCTGCCTGCTGGAAGTTCTGGAGCATCCTCTGCAGCTAGAGGAGGAAGAGGGAGGAATTATTCAGACCTTTAAACAATTCTTCACCAACCATGATCCAGAAGTGCTGGAGCACTTAAACCATGTTACTGCTTACCTCCTGACCATGGGGGGACTGAAACAGCTGTGCCACAGCAGCTAAGGCATCAGGACTGGGTAGCTGGGGCACAACAGAGGCACTAGTAACAGGAAGTTGTGTCTCTTGTCGGTGGTCAGTGGGAACTATTCAGATACAAGAAAAATATTTAAATCTTTGCATGCAGTTCATCAAACACTGGAAATTACAATTGCACTTGCCTTAACTCTAAGATAACACTTAAATGCATTGTTACAAACAGACAAACATCGCCCAAAGATTTTTTTTTATTAACTTCTGTACCTTCCAGTGCAGGCGCAGGTACAATGACTCCATTGGCCATATCCATCAGAGGCTGAATGATGTCCATGTCAAACACACCATTCTTCTGCCACAGGTTCAGGACGCGGACAATTTTACTCTGATAAAGGGAAAAAAAACAATCCAAACCTTGAGATATCTTCAATTATTATCCATTGTAAAAATATAATATAACAAAAACACAAACATAGAGCACCTTATCATCTTCTGGGCAATGGTAAAGGTTTTGGAAGGTATCTGTGAAGTTCTTCAAGAATCTGGGCCCAAATACGTCTTTGTCAACACCAAACTGATGTCGTGACTGTCGAACAATGGAATCAACCACATACAAACCAGGGACTTTTAATTCTGGCTTGCACTAAAGAAAATGGAAGGAAAAAAATACAAGTTAGTAGTTGGATCATAACAAATTGCATTTGTTAAACGCAGTTTGATTTGTGTAATATAATGTACAATAAGAAGCTCTATAGTACATACCTTCTTGATGAACTTTTCAACAATCTGGACAACATGCTTGTAAAGCTATAAAAAAATAAATAAATGACATCAGTCACAGCATAATAGATAATACGTCTTTACTAAAGATTATACTAGGGATGTCACAAGAAACTATATTTTGCTACCAAGTCAATGCCAAAGTTCTCAAAATAGTACGTTACTCATGTTTCTGCCCCATCTGACCTGATAGGGCAGCATGTAGGCCTACAAGCAGCCTTTCCCATTAATTACAGACTGTGGCGACACACAGTTTCAAAATGAACCAGAAATATTTTTCCACTTCTCTCCAACATCGAGTTTTGTGCCGTTGCTTCAGTATTGCATCTCTCACTCCCAGTAAGTATCCACAATCGGTTAACCTGTGGACAATCTCCCCTCACTCTGTCCCTCCAGTCTAATGACAGTTGCGTGTGCTCTACAGAGAAACACCTCCTCCACACACAGCTCACCTGCTGTTGTTAAGACGGAATCGTGGGTGAAAAAAGCCCAATGAATGTTGTGTTTTTGGGGCAACTTTATAAAACATATTGGTGAAGAGAGTCAACAGAGACACATACAGGGAGAGAGAGAAACAAAAAACGGAGCAGGGCAAGCCCGTGAATGTGTGTGAGAGAGAGAGAGAGAGAGACCAGCGTAGGTGTGTGCGAGTGTGGAAAAGTAATAAAGAAAAAAGGCCGGTGAGCTGATTAAAATGGTTTGTGAGTTAATTAGTGAATTAAGTAAATTACAAAAACAATCTATTACAAAATGGGCGACTAAATTTCTGTTATCCTGACATCCCGTTGTTATACTTACGGTTTGTAAGATCGTAAAAGGCTTATTCAAAATCTGAATTTTACGTCAGTCACACCATGCAGCCTGGAACAATTAAAAATCTGAACTCTGACATTATGACAGAGAGAGCTAAGCTGAATTGGAAGAAACCCAAAAGATTACGTATCTGGTAATGAAGACTACTTATCTCCACTCCTACGCTCAGTACATTCAAACATGTGTCATTTAATGTCCCTATTGGCCACCTACGGTTTGTCAATAGCAAGCAGGATTGGTTTTTACCTTGATAGCTTTAATGGCTGATTTTGTGACGGACATCATCTTGGCACGAGATATTGGCGGCTTCATGTCAATCATGGAGAACAACTGGTTTAAAAAAAAAAAGGAAATCAATTTAAGGGAAAAGTACTGGAATACGATAACACTGGAAAACATGCAGCTTAAAAAAAATGGGTAATACAGACAGCACTAATGTGCAGCAACATACAGCCATTTCACACTGGTGAATAATAGAAAATCCTGTAACAGAAAACAACTCAGAATATAGGAAATAGATATCTTAAACAAGTTGTTTCGTATGTTAAAAGAACTGTATGTAGGGCTGTGGGATATAACCACAATCTCATATCCGCATACATTTCATATCCAGATAAAGAGACGTATTACATTATTACAATATAGACCATTTTCATTAAAATCAATGAATAATATACATATATATATAAAAATAAAGGCGTATAGAAAGGCTCTTATTTTTTATTAAAGTATTCTTATTATACGCTCGACAAATAAAAAAGGCACTGACTCATATTTGATTATTTTTCTTATATGACAGCAATAATCTCAATGTGTTGTGTAAAAACACGTAATAGGATTTATGTTCTTTACTTTGCTTGTGAAAAGTTAAAAAGTTACACTCATATCTTAATCATCTTAATCATCTGTGTAACAATTACATGTGGAAGTAAACTACAGACCTGCTACAGACACACAATAACACATCAAAGCAAGACGACGGTCCAGGGTTTCAGGTGGCAAACAATAAATTAACCGACATTTGACAAATACTAAGCTTAATTTATGATGGATAAAGTTACACAGACCTTAACTTAAAAAAAGCAGCCTGAGTGTGAGTGAGTCTGAGGTTTCTTGTTGACTCAAAGGAAAACGTTTAATAACAGCTTTACTGACAGCACTGATAACAGCACACAAAGGGAATGTGGTAATACGTTACAGAAGCTGCTATTATTACTATTACATGTACATTTATACTCATAGTTCATCGTGGCCTCAGTGGTGGAAGGTTAAGTTAACAATTAACAGGACATTAAAATCACAGGCCTTGCGTTACAAGCGCTGGACTCGACTTAAGCTAGTGGCTAACAAAATCCCAATCAAGCCATATTTACGTTCACTACGTTTAACTGAACAAACGTTTACACCCCAGAAAACGAACAAAATGAAGCGGTTAAAGGTCGATCTAACTAACTATTCGCAGCTATCAAACACATGTGCTGGTATTAACTTAGTAACGTTAACTCAAACTGACACTACTTAGCGTTAGCTTTCGGGTTTAGCTCTGTGGAAAGGGGGGAGGGAAAAACAGCAAACTTTACCTCCATGTTGAACGCGTTCACTGCATCCATAATGGTTTGTTATACGGACAACCGACTGACAAGTGCGTATGAGCTACCCACTCATAACCCTGTGTAGTTATATAAGCTCACAACATTAACCAGCGACGTTCAGATTGAGATGCGGTCACATTGCTAGCTCTGATATGCTAGGAATTGCTACTGGCTTCGCGGTTCCACCCCGTACGTGCCTGTCAGCGTCAGATGTCACGTGATAATGCTGCGTTCACGGTTATCGGGAAAATGAGGATTTATTTTAATGGACTCGAAAAGTCATTTGGAGGTCCTCTTTGCAACCGATCGCCTCCCACTTGGCGTCTATTGATTGCGGGGGGAAAAAAAGTGGCCAACTTCACTTTTTAAGTTGCTTCTCAAAAATCATACACGCCTGGAAATAAACGCTTCGGTCTAACAACTGTTTTGATATTTTTAAATAGCTGTTGTACATTTTGCATGCCATATACGTTATATTTGATTGTTGGTTACGTTTTAATTCAATCGTCAACATCAATTTCTCAAATATGAATATGCTTCAGCCGACATTGGCAGATTACCGAGCAGCATTTGAAAGCAGCCTGTCTGAATACTGGTACCTTATAGTCCGTGCCTACCCGTGCTTTCACCATTTCCACTGTAAAGCTAGTGCAACACAGCTACTTCTCACCCTATTCAGCGGGAGTGTATGCGGACCTCAAGCGGGCCATCTCGGTGCTATAAGGCGGGCCCCCACAATGTCCACTAACAGTCGCCAGTATTGGTCTATGAGTGAAACTAAGGCCTTGCTAAACATATGGGCTGACGAGACTGTGCAGCAAAAAATGGAGGGCGTTTGTCGTAACGAAGAAGTCATTCAGTTCATGGTAGAGGAGTTGGCAAAGTTAGGTATTCAGCGCACAACCACCCAAGTAAGGGAGAAACTAAAAAAGATGAGACATTCCTATAAGACTGTCAAGAGTGATGGACGAAAGACTTTTCCCTTTTTTGACTTAATGGACAGTGTACTCGGACGACGAAGAGGGGCAGAGGGTCAGCTGGGGACCAGTGAAAGTCCCAAATGCATTAATGCACCTTTGGCCCAGTTAGGAGGTAACTACACGTTTGGACAGTGGCATTGTTTGTGGTCTGCGACTGTAATTAATATAACTGAGAATCAGCAATGTAAATACCTAACGCCCCCCATTGAATACAATGTGTTTTAAATAACAAAAGTCAAATGTTTTGTATGTTAACAGCGGCTGTTAGCTCATCAAATCTGAACACTGATTACTGATGACATTTATTTAACCAAATACATGTGTGTCCTTATTTGACAGATAAATCACACTCTACAGAAAGCAGTGGGACCTCAGCCATGAGAAAGGGTAATCATCCTGGATTTCATAGGGTCAGATCTCGTAAGTAAAACTATAGTCAGCCTTTCTGAGCTCCCTTGGTGTTTCAGTCGTGATATATTAATTAATAATATTGACTTAATACTGCTATAAAGCATTTGCTTTACTTACAAATAGATACAAAGCCATTAAAACGCATTTGGACTCAATACAAACCACTGCTGGATCACTGAGTTTATTAAGTCAAATCAAGTTGCTTAGGGACAATGTGTTTCTGACTGTTTGCCTTTCATTTAAGGTTAATTCAGTATTTGCACTTTTGACCATAAAATAATGCTGTAAAGCTAAAAGCAATGAGAAACTATATTTTTTCAAATAAAATATAAAAAAATAAAATATTTATTTTATCAAATAAAATATATAAAACAAAGCTGATGTGTGACAGCTGCTCTGTCCTTGCAGAGACTCATAAACGGAGAGCTGACAGTGACACTACAAAAGAGTTTCTCAGTGCAATGACGGAGAGCCACAGACAGTGGCTGGAGAGGGAGCAGGAGCAGAGGAGGGAGGAGTGGGAGAGGGAATCTAAGCTGAGGCACGAGGAGATGCGGCAGGAGCTGACTTTACGCCGAGAGGAAGCAGAAAGGGAGGAGAGGCTGAGGCGTGAGGAGATGGAGGCTCGAAGCAAAGACAGTGAGCTGCTGACCTCTTGCTTAATGCAAATTGCAAAGCTTATTTCAAAGGACTCTGCGGCTTTGTAAGGACATAGACCTTAGGCTGTTTTGTGACTGAACATTTTTGATGGCTATGAATGTATTTGTTTTTATTTTGTAACTACAGACACATTCTAATCCTGCAACAGAATAGTAGCAAAGGACTGGTGGTATTTTATTAGCCTTTATTCTAAACACTACTGCATGGCTTTACTTGACATGTATTTTATCTTTAAAAACAAAGAAAAGCATAGTATTTATATATTTACATATTATGTATTTTATCTCTGTAAAAGCATTTATGTAACTGTTGTGACTAACAGCTTGTGTTCTAGTTCATTTTATAAATGAGTCATTCAATGCACAGCCCACAGCTGTTTACAGTCTCAAACTATTTATTGGTTTTGTTTTTTTGGCGTTTTACCATTGTGAAATTGTAAAAAGTTTGCAAGTCATATAATATTTGTTTATCATTTTATTGAATGGGTAAAACAATGTGTGAATGAAGTATTTAAATAAAGTTTTTTAATTATGCATCTTCAAAACAGGGAAAGACTTCATGTAACACAACAGCCATAATTTAGCAGGGCAATGTATAAAAATATATATTTATGTTTCATAAACCACAAGAACAGTATCTCTTTCTGCCACATTCATACATAGTTGACTGATATTCGCTAAGGCCCGTTTATCTAAGGAGGACATTAATGTGCATCATTTTGTACAAATTGCTGCAAGGCCAACAATGAGTCTGTCTCATTATTCCTTTGAGGCTTTTCCATTAACATTCGGAGGTGGCTCACGACTAATCCACTCTGGAAGGAACGTATCCTTGTTTTTCTCACAGAGATTATGAAGCACACAGCATGTCTCTACCATGTCCTTGACAATCTCCACACTGCAGTCATTTCGTTTATTCAGGCACCTCCACCTACCTGTCAGCCTCTCAAAAGCATGCTGGGCTACACTGTGTGCTTGACTAATCTGACTATTAAACACCTCTTGTTCTGCAGTCATCCAGCTTGTGTTGGTGCACGGTTTGAGAAGCCAGTGTTGAGAAGGATACCCTTCATCACCAAGAATAAAGCGGCCGCTGTCAGTTCCACAGACATTGAGCATCCTGATGGTGAAATCCTCACATGCCCACGACTCTTTAAGTCCACAGGAATCATTCACCCATGTTGGGCAGCTCATGCTCAGATCCCAGAACATGCCATTGCCGTCCACCACTGCTTGTAATAAGATAGCAAGATAACTTTCTCTGTTGGGTGGCTCAGACTGGTAGTGTGGTGGTTTGATGACTGTAATTTGCATTGTGTCTAATACACCAATACACTGAGGGATCCCATATGAGTGTAAGAAAAAGTCTGCTATTTTCACAAGCTCAGAGCCGTTTGGTGTCACAACAAGCTGCGGCTTAAGCACTTCAATGACTGCTGTGCAGAACTCATGCACACAGCGGCAAACAGACGCCACCCCCACAGCGAAGAGCTCTGCCACAGTTTTATAGTCACAGGGGTAAGCCAATTTATATAGAGTCAAAGCCACTCTCTTCTGCAGGGGGATGCAGAGACGATAAGTGGTGTCCTGCCTCTTCAACTGTGGCTTCAACATCATGCAGAGATGGGAGAAAGTCTCTCTTGATACCCTGAAATGCTGCAGCCACTGATCATCTGTGAAAGCAGAAGCTGTGTTCTCCCACCAGTCGCTGGTCCGAGGATAGAGCCACACTTTGGGTCTTTGTCGCATACGATCCCTCAAGAAGTGATGTGTTATCTGGTTGGAATGTTGGAAAAGTACACAGGAAGTGCTGGTAAAATTTCAAGTAAACACACAAAGTTATGGCATGAACACACTGAACAGCATGCTGTCCTTACAATTATGGATGGACTGGAAAACTATTATTAATCATGATGTGATATAATCAAAGTGATAATAAAAATAAAAAATCAGTTACAATCAAGCAATTCATTGGTGAAGCTGTAAATGGCAAATGTTTTGTATTTTCAGCTCTAACTAGCTCTTTACTAAACCATAATAATTCGTTTCCCTGTTTTTGGTAAAACAATTTATCTTTCACACAAAATACACTGGCCTTATATGACACCTCATTATGGCCAATGCAATGTTCATATATTAAGTATGATCACTAACAAGTTATGGAAGTCTTCTGCTGTTCATACTCTTTTAAATATTAGTCATATGACATTGTATGTGACAACAGACTCTCATCCATGGTTGTAGAGCAAGCTCTCACCGCTGTCATCCATTTCTCATGAGCACAGAGGCGATGCAGTCGACTCTGTTTGCAGACTTTTCCCCTCCTCATCCATGTTTGCTGGAGTTTCTTGAGCCGCAGCCGCCGAGCTGCCAGCAGCCGCAGGCGGCGCTTCTTGCGTCGAGCCCCGGTTTGGTTGTCCTGGACCTGCCTCGCTCTGCACCAGGCGACAACCGAGAGAAATAAACCTGCACACAAATGTGCTGCTTCCATGTTGTACTTATACAGCTGTGGTTTTCTAAATCCTTTGGCGTATACTTTTCAGACTCGGACCAAAAACACTGAAGCCTTCAACTTTGCGCTCATGATACACTGACGCCCCCTCGTGTTCCGGAGTGTGTAGAGCCATGGCTGCTAAAAAACACTCTTACCAAGGAGCCATCAAATCGTATACAAAAATAGAAATAACCAAGTAATACAAATAATTTCCTATAATGATGGAAGGTGTAATAATGTCCACTCATTGTAAACTGAGTACCACACTAGGACACAACATTAGGTATTTCCATGTTCCCTACCCAGTCCTGTTTCCATAAACGTTTTGCACCCTGTGAATTAGTCTCTATCATGCACCCGTGTGGCCAAACCTGCACATTGCATGCATCCCCTGAAATCTACAATCAGAGCCCACAAGAGGAAAAACCACAGGAGTGAAGCAGACAACGTATGTGGGTGATGATTGGAGGGATCTCGCTCTCGGCTTCCTGAAATAGACATAACTACATCTGTTTGAACAACAGTGTTTAGTTTTTCATTATGTGCTGCTGGCTATCATTTTTTTCCACCAACTTTTTGGAATGAGACAACATTACTTCTCTCTTAAAATTATATTATGGCTGTAATGGAGAACTCAACCAGCGCTGTTTCCTATGAATGGGAATACTATTATGATTATCTTGATCCTGTGATTGTGGATGAAAGCAAGCTGAAATACAATAAATGTAAGTCTTCATGCTTTATACAATTGTTGTATCTGTCTCCTTGTGTTACATGGAGATGACTGCAATTTTCCTCTTCCCTTTCAGACTCAATTGTTATAATATTTTGGATCATTCTGGCTGCTTTTGTGGGATTCCTCTTTTTCAGTTTGAATCTAATGTCTCGCAGTGGAAACTTCCCAAAGTAAGTGTGATGCATAATCTTTCACTGCCTTCAAAGTGACACACATACATACATCCACATATATATGTAAATCTTTACTCAAACTTGTGTGTTCCTATTATTATTGCAGGACCAAGGGAAGACACAGAACATCAAATACCTGACCTGAGACTAAATGGAAAAGAGAGCACTTTTTATGGATGTGAACTAACAACGCAGCTGTGGAAAATATGTTGGGGAGAGGCAAGGCCACCATTACCATTACACAAAATGTTGTGCAACAATGTGATTTAACTGGCAGTGTGTGTACATATGAACCCTGTCCTAGATGTTTAAAGTACAAAAAAACCCAGGAAATACTGGCTTTTTGGGTATTGAGGTTATTAGAGATCTTTTGGAGGGTCAACTCTTATGTCTTTTCTACAACTTAAGGAACACTTTTGGGGGGTATTTGCAAATTTGTCACTTTATTAATGCACATACTCTCCCTTCACCGAATATCCTAAACCCAGTGCCCTTTTTGTTTTGAACTGGAAGAACTCTTGCCATTCAATTTCTTCCTTCTACCTTCTTAACCAGGTTATACAACATCCAGCATAAATGAATTAGGGAATTTGAATGTAATGACTGGAAAAAAGCTGTTTACTGTTTCAACATAGTGTTTACTTATAATAGACTGCAGAAAACTCAATATAACATTCCTTAAAGATGTGTCACTTCCCTCTCTGAAAGCCAAATTGCTGGATAAATTGTTTTTGGCAAGAACATGTATTCTGCTAAAATGGAGCTCCTTCTGTCAGTTTGTGAGAGATCTTAATGTATTACCAGAGAGGATTAGTTCTGTACTTAAAGGTCATGATCAGTCATTTCTCCCTATTTGGAAGCCACTCACAGACCATTTCCACGTAGAGTGTTAATTTATGGTCAAAGGTATTTTCTTTCTTGAACTGAAAAATCTGACAGAATACTGGTATTGGACACTTATTTGGACTAATGTGTTTTTTCATTCTTGTCTGAACAGATTTTACATGGCCGTTTTGTGGTTATTTCGTGTTGCTTTCTTGCTTTGTATGTTATTTTTTTTTTTACCATTTATTTATGGTGTGCTATATGCTCTTGCTTTTATTTAATATTATTTGAAAAAATAATAAAAAATTTACTGCACCGATTAAAATTTCTTTAATTTAGTTCAAAAAATCTTTTGTGTTCCAAATCCCCAAATGTTCACATAGAATTACAGTTTTAAAAATACGTAATACAGGAACCATATGTTAAAAAAAAAACATTCTTAAACTCATAACACATTTGTATCTCAATGTTCTATAACAGAGGGTTTTACAAAATATCTTCAGTCTTTTTACAGGAACGAAACAAAGGAGCAAAATTAACGACTACAAGCTTTCTTGTAATTAGGTCGAAGAACACGGCAGTGTTCAAATGTCTAACTCTTCATAGTGATGATGTCATTACAGATGGCTCTGATGGCTGTTTGAGTCAGTGATGATTTGGATGCTTTCTGTCTCTTACACTTGGTTCTGGTCACCAAACTGACATGAGACAGGAACAGGTCTGCTGATGTGGCTCCACTCCACAACTCATGGATGTACAGTGACAACAGGAACAATCCGGCTTCTGGAAAGAAAGAGAAAACAAGAAGCTTAATTCATTTACAGTCATCTCCCTGACAGCCACTCCCACAGGATTATTATCTGGCTTTCCAGATACTGACATAGAAAAATAAACATGCATCTCCACAGAGTTTATGTTTTTAATATTTTACTTAATATTCTTTTTACTATGCGAGTCAAATTAGATTGGCCATTAAAATTTCTCTCACATGCCTGAAAAGCTGTCAAAATCTAGTTTCTCCTCCATGCTTTTTGCAATGTGGCACATATAGCTGATTTCATTTATTTATACAAGCACTACATCACTAACATTTGGTATTTGATGAGAACTACAATAAATGTTGCAAAACAATGTCCATTTATTTACTTTCATAGCCCACTGCTGAATTGTACAAAGTCAGTTGTGCAAGCTAATGTTGTATAATGACAAAATAAATTACCTTGTATACCATATACCACTTGATGGTATCCCCATTACATTACATTTTTGGCCCTCTTTAGTCAAAAGTTTGGGCACCTCTATGTGACTCCGGTGTGTCAATACAACAATTAGATATTTTTGTAGTACAAACTGAAGTGTGTTTTTAAGTGAGGTACAGTGTTCTTACAGTATTGTCACAGTACTGATGTAGACATTTCTGTGAATAAGGTGGCTGACTCTTACCCCGTCTAGACTGATCATGTGTGGCTTCTGGCAGGCAGGCAGAGACGACTGCCTGATGCAGCTCTGGAAGGTGGCCTTGGGTCTCCAGTAACTGTATCATTATGTTGGTAAACAGCTGGAAGGTTTCCACTCTTCCTGAAATGTTGGAGTGACACTGAGCTTCAAAGGCCTGATGGTGGAGTCGAAGGAGGTCCGCTTTCAAGCCAGGATCAAGCAACACAACAACCGCAATTTCCCTGTGTTTTATCACAGCCTTTTCGACCCAGTGCAAGAATTCTTTTGTTCCGTTTTCATCATACGAGTCCTCAGCCAAGCACCTCAGGGACCACTTGGTGAGCAGGTGCGCAGTATCACTGGCCAACCGACTGGGATCCAGTTTGTCTCTTGCCTGAGCCAGCTGGGGTTCAGATAAGGGACACACAGGCTCCCAGTGAACAAAGATACTGCTGAGGTAAGATTTACACTCTGTCAGGAGACTCTCTTCTTGTTTCTTGGTCTCAGCATCCTCTGCCAGGTTCTCTTTCCGGGCCTTGGAAAAGGAGCCTTTACCTCGGGTCTTATCCTTTCCCATCCCTGAGGAGGAAGATGAACAAAACTATGTTTATGCTATTAAAGATACAAGGAATGATTTAGATACTGTGACACAGAACAAGATCTAAATCCTCCAGTGTTTGTAATGGAACAACAGCATGTAATGTCATCACATGTAACAACGTGATTCTTTAAGCCTCATTTCTATTCATTCCCCTACAGAGAAGAGAACACGGGGTCAGCAACTGAGCAGACACCCTGGAGCAGTTATTGCCAGGAACTGGTGTGATTACAATGTAACAGTCTTGCAGGGTGCAAACTTTCTAACACGGGTGTGGCTTTATCGTTGGCCCTCAGTATAAAATATTAATCATCATTTGTGGGAATTAATGTCAGCTTTTTTGGCTCTATATTTTTTATTTTTTTATTTTCTAAATGCCTCACAGCATCAACAAAGCAGAATTTAAACAGCATGTAATTCATTGTGAACCAGGACCTGCTGTTTGGCTACATATCAGTGAGAATTTTCTTTTTTTATTAGAAAAATTGTTTTTCCATCTGCAGTATCTACAATTTATAGTCAGCAGTTCACTAATTAGATCACTTATTATGTTAGTTAGGCAGAAAATACCTGTCTGAGGAATAGTGTAGACAAAATCAATTGCAAACATTATGCTAAAACGTTATGCTAATTAGTAGTATATGTTAACAACTATACATATGTGTATATATATGTATATATCTGTCATGTCCATGTTGGTGAGTGTCCACTTGCTATAACTCTTTGATGACGCTCTAAGTTTGGCACATGTTACCATTTTGGAGTGTTTGTAACTCAACTGCATGGATCAATTTGGCCTTTTTGGCTTCATTGTCTCAAACCTCATATATCAAAAGGCTTACTGCAAAACATATTCTGACAATTAGCATTCAACTCATTATGTCCCACCATAGCAGCAGTGTTAACAATACTCATTGTCTCCTTTTCTGTTATGTGTTAACAGTATTTTGTCCACCCCTTTGGCAGAAAGACAACCATGACAATTGTTCATCTGTTCATTTGTACAAGCTTCTCGGTATGAGAGAACTAGTTGAATGATGATGGCACTCACCCAGCAATTCTTTCACTTTGTGCTTTTCAGACAAGGCTTGTATTTGGGTAAGGAGTGTTGTGTTGCGAGACAGGGAGGACCAGCAGAGAAGCAGAGCGAGGACTTCGGTACATGAGAGAGGCTGTGGGTGGAGTGTTAGCCAGTCAGCCTGCTTGTTTACATTGAGAGCTGTAACACGATGCTTCAGTATAGAGCAAAGAGTCTGTAGAAACAGGCTGAGCTGAGCGGCCTTCACACGCAACCTGACAGGAGGAGATCAAAGAA